TCTGCCCTGACACTGTATTTAGTATTCTGCACTGAAACTGTATAAAGTATTCTGCCCTGAAACGGGATAACGTATTCTGCCCTGAAACTGCATTTAGTATTCTGCCCTGACACTGTATTTAGTATTCTGCACTGAAACTGTATAAAGTATTCTGCCCTAAAACTGTATTAGTTATTCAGCCCTAAAACTGTATTTAGCAACCTGCACTGAGACTGTATTAAGTATTCTGCGCTGAATCGGTATTCCGTCCTGAAACTGTATTAAGTGTTCTGCCCTGAAACTGTATTATGTATTCCGCCCTGAAACTGTATTAGGTATTCCGACCTTCATATTGAAGTACGGGTTTGGTTTTTATTAGGGTTAGGGTAAGGGTTAAGTTTATATTAGAGTAAGGGTTGGGTTTATACATGTATTAGGTTAAGGGTAGTCGTAAAGTTAAGACACCAGGCTGAAACCTTATTTTAGAACTTGTCGCAATTGTATGATTGATGAAAATATACTTTAATAAGCATACAGAAAACAATATGAAAGTAATCCGGACATAATATGTTATTTCGCCCAAAAGTGATATCCACTTCATATTTTAGTCGATTATAGTATGTTGTCCCTAAACACACAAAAAACAACTTCATGGACCGTTCTTGTATAGAAATGAAGAATTCTTTTGCCCAATTCTTTTGCTTGCTCCGAAGTTTAAACATTTACCGGTCTTATACCTAAAAGTCATTATAGTATCGATGGATCAAACAACGGCAATATATACCATTTCAATTGTAAATGGTGTACAAATCGAGGATGTACACGTGTCATTGCTTCTCCTCCCATGTTGTGATCTTTGTAGAAACTGGGAACACATCGTGCGCTGGCCAGTACATCACGTGCCAGACTACGTCACTCCTGGTCACCCAGAGTTTGGAGGAGAAGAAATGGGATGACTTTTGCAGGTCAGTCTAGACGTGAGGCAACACACGGGCACTTGCTACATTATGAAACTAATGTGAGTGGCAGGAGCTACTGTGGAAGAGGACACGTTTACCCTTTTCGCTGACACCGGGTGTCATTACTGATGTTCAGTGATCCATTCATATCATTTTCATCACTATTTTACGCCCAATTGAATCTGTTTCGGCAGATGCCTGTTTTCTCATAACACAGATATATGTTTCAGGATTGACATGTACACTTAGTCTTGAACATCCAATATCGTTACTTTGTAAGAAAACGGACAGATTTATGGATGACAACTTCTGGTTTATTGTACGTTTTCTTACTAACTCACCAACTGTAAGAATGCCAATCAAACAGATCGCTACTTTGGCACACATCTGATGTCATGAAATAATCCAGATGCTGTGTCTTTCTGAACGTTATTCGTAACATGACGTGATATCATCTTAACAAAAAATAAAAGCGACAAAACCATTAATGTATAAAGGCAACAACATACTCACTTACAACTGTTTGCCTGAAAACACTAAGAAAGTCTGCTAAATTACACCTGAGGGTATAGGAATGAAAGCTATGTTAGCCTCCACCTTTATTCCCACAGTGACCTCACATAGTGGACCGAGTACTTCTGTCATTCGAGGCGCGGAAGGTCATAATGAGCCTGTGGCGAAATCTTGCAAGAGATTAGCCTATAAATAAGCGTCTTTAAATGTGTCTCCGAGTTCTAATGAAACATTTGTAGTGTTGTAATACAGCATCCCTGCTTCTGTCTGGGGTGATGGTAGCCTATGGGAGTTCAAGTTCATGTCATAGTTTTGGGACCCAGACTCGGCCCCAGCAGTTGACACACTAATGAAACGAGGCCTCTGAAGGGTCTGACCCGTGTTGGCTGATGTGTGCTCCATCGTATTCCCGGCCTCTGATACTTCAGTCAGATCAGGATTCCATTCCTCTGAAATGTCAGCGTGTATCTGGGCTTCGGAGATAAACTGCCGGACAAAAAGTACGCTTTTAAAAATTAGATTTGACCCAACAATAACAAACGTTATCTAATGTTATAAGCTGAAAACAGTCACGGAAACACTGCAAACTCAAGGTCCGAAACACGACTATGATACTCGTATCAAAATGGGTGCATACTTTCTTTTGTCTGGTGGTTTACATTGTGTTTCTATGTATTTCTATACCAGGGGCGCCACATGTGTGCTGAATTGGTAGGGCGAATACATGACTGTGAGGTTTCATCAAATATGTGGTTCCCCGAGGTCATTCCGTAGGGGAGAAAGTGTGCATGCATTTCTTAGATATTTGCCGGGAGTGATTGTTAGCATGCATTTCTTGGGTATTTCTCTTAGGAAAATTTGTGCATGCATTTCTTGGATATTTTCCAGAGGTGAGTGTATGCGTGCATTTCTTGGGTATTTCTCTTAGGAAAATTTGTGCATGCATTTCTTGGATATTTTCCAGAGGTGAGTGTATGCGTGCATTTCTTGGATATTTTCCAGAGATGGGTGTGCATGCATTTCTTGGATATTTTCAAGAGGTGAGTTTATGCTTGCATTTCAAGGATATTTTCCAGAGGTGAGTGTATGCGTGCATTTCTTGGATATTTTCCAGAGAAGGGTGTGCATGCATTTCTTGGATATTTTCAAGAGGTGAGTTTATGCTTGCATTTCAAGGATATTTTCCAGAGGTGAGTGTATGCGTGCATTTCTTGGATATTTTCCAGAGATGGGTGTGCATGCATTTCTTGGATATTTACAAAAGGTGAGTTTATGCTTGCATTTCAAGGATATTTCCCAGAGATGAATGTGCATCCATTTCTTGGATAATTTCCAGAGGTGAGTGTGCATGCATTTCCTGGGTATTTCCCAGAGATGAGTGTGCATGCATTTCCTGGGTATTTTCCAGAGATGAGTGTGCATGCATTTCCTGGGTAATTTCCAGAGGTGAGTGTGCATGCATTTCCTGGGTATTTCCCAGTGATGAGTGTGCATGCATTTCTTGGGTATTTTCCAGAGATGAGTGTGCATGCATTTCCTGGATATTTCCCAGAGATGAGTGTGTATGCATTACTGGATATTTTCAAGAGGTGAGTGTATGCGTGCATTTCCTGGATATTTCCCAGAGATGAGTGTGCATGCATTTCTTGGATATTTTCCAGAGATGAATGTGCATCCATTTCTTGGATATTTTCCAGAGGTGAGTGTGCATGCATTTCTTGGATATTTCCCAGAGGTGAGTGTGCATGCATTTCCTGGATATTTCCCAGAGATGAGTGTGCATGCATTTCCTGGGTATTTTCCAGAGATGAGTGTGCATGCATTTCCTGGGTAATTTCCAGAGGTGAGTGTGCATGCATTTCCTGGGTATTTCCCAGAGATGAGTGTGCATGCATTTCCTGGGTATTTTCCAGAGATGAGTGTGCATGCATTTCCTGGATATTTCCCAGAGATGAGTGTGTATGCATTACTGGATATTTTCAAGAGGTGAGTGTATGCGTGCATTTCCTGGATATTTCCCAGAGATGAGTGTGCATGCATTTCCTGGGTATTTCCCAGAGATGAGTGTGCATGCATTTCCTGGGTATTTTCCAGAGATGAGTGTGCATGCATTTCCTGGGTAATTTCCAGAGGTGAGTGTGCATGCATTTCCTGGGTATTTCCCAGACATGAGTGTGCATGCATTTCCTGGGTATTTTCCAGAGATGAGTGTGCATGCATTTCCTGGATATTTCCCAGAGATGAGTGTGTATGCATTACTGGATATTTTCAAGAGGTGAGTGTATGCGTGCATTTCCTGGATATTTCCCAGAGATGAGTGTGCATGCATTTCTTGTATATTTTCCAGAGATGAATGTGCATCCATTTCTTGGATATTTTCCAGAGGTGAGTGTGCATGCATTTCTTGGATATTTCCCAGAGGTGAGTGTGCATGCATTTCCTGGATATTTCCCAGAGATGAGTGTGCATGCATTTCCTGGGTATTTTCCAGAGATGAGTGTGCATGCATTTCCTGGGTAATTTCCAGAGGTGAGTGTGCATGCATTTCCTGGGTATTTCCCAGAGATGAATGTGCATGCATTTCCTGGGTATTTTCCAGAGATGAGTGTGCATGCATTTCCTGGATATTTCCCAGAGATGAGTGTGTATGCATTACTGGATATTTTCAAGAGGTGAGTGTATGCGTGCATTTCCTGGATATTTCCCAGAGATGAGTGTGCATGCATTTTTTGGATATTTTCCAGAGATGAATGTGCATCCATTTCTTGGATATTTTCCAGAGGTGAGTGTGCATGCATTTCTTGGATATTTCCCAGAGGTGAGTGTGCATGCATTTCCTGGATATTTCCCAGAGATGAGTGTGCATGCATTTCCTGGATATTTCCCAGAGATGAGTGTGTATGCATTTCTTGGATATTTCCCAGAGAAGAGTGTGCATGCATTTCCTGGGTATTTTCCAGAGATGAGTGTGTATGCATTACTGGATATTTTCAAGAGGTGAGTGTATGCGTGCATTTCCTGGATATTTCCCAGAGATGAGTGTGCATGCATTTTTTGGATATTTTCCAGAGATGAATGTGCATCCATTTCTTGGATATTTTCCAGAGGTGAGTGTGCATGCATTTCTTGGATATTTCCCAGAGGTGAGTGTGCATGCATTTCCTGGATATTTCCCAGAGATGAGTGTGCATGCATTTCCTGGATATTTCCCAGAGATGAGTGTGCATGCATTTCTTGGATATTTTCCAGAGGTGAGTGTATGCGTGCATTTCCTGGATATTTCCCAGAGATGAGTGTGCATGCATTTCTTGGATATTTTCCAGAGATGAGTGTGCATCCATTTCTTGGATATTTTCCAGAGGTGAGTGTGCATGCATTTCTTGGATATTTCCCAGAGGTGAGTGTGCATGCATTTCCTGGATATTTCCCAGAGATGAGTGTGCATGCATTTCTTGGATATTTCCTAGAGAAGAGTGTGCATGCATTTCTTGGGTATTTCCTAGAGGCGAGTGTGCATGCATTTCCTGGGTATTTCCCAGTGATGGCGTTTTCCTTGAGTGAATGTGTGCATGCATTTTTGGTGTTTTCCTCGAAGGTGAGTGTGTGTTTGGTATGTCCCCTGGTTGAATGTGTGCATGGATTTCTTGGGCATTTTCCTGGGTTAAATGTGTCCATGCGTTTCTTGGGCATATCCCAGGGTTTAATGTGTGCATGCATTTCCTGGGTATTTCCCAGAGGTGAGAGTGAATGCATTTCTTTGGTATTCCTAAGGGTTGGGTGTGTGCATGCATTTCTTGGGTATTTCCCAGGGTTTAATGTGTGCATGCATTTCTTGGGTATTTCCCAGAGGTGAGAGTGCATGCATTTCCTGGGTATTTCCCAGGGATCAATGTGTGCTTGCATTTCCTGGGTATTTCCCACTGTTGAATGTGTTTATGTGTTTCTTGGGTATTTCCCAGTGATAAAATTGTGAATGTATTTCTTGGGTATTTCCCAGGGATGAATGTGTGCTTGCATTTCCTGGGTATTTGCCAGGGTTTCATGTGTGCATGCATTTCTTGGTTATTTCCCAGATGTGAGTGTACATGTTTTTTCTGGGTATTTACCAGAGGTGAGTGTGCATGCATTTCTTTGGTATTTCCCAAGGTTTCGTGTGTGCATGCATTTCGTGAGTATTTCCCAGTGATAAATGTGTGCATGCATTTCTTGGGTATTTCCCAAGGTTTCGTGTGTTTATGCATTTCCTGGGTATTTCCCAAGGTTGAATGTGTGCATGCATTTTAGGGGCAATATCCAAGGGGTTAATGTGTTTTGCAGCGGTGACAATGTGCGTATATATTCTTTGAAACGAAAGTTGAATTATCTTCGAGGAACAATGTACAAGTGTGTCCTAAGGCGATACTCAGCTTGTATTTTTGCTTGTAGAAGTATTTTCCTCAGATGGCAATGTACACATATACCCAGTGGTAACAATGAAAATGTACACAAGGATAACACACCAGCACACGAGGAACAAATCATATCAACACAAATACGACACATCGGCGCCAACACAACGCGCCAACACAAGTAAAACACATCAGGAATAACACAACGCGCCAACACAAATACGACACTTCAGGACGAACACAACGCGCCAACACAAGTAAAACAGCAGCGCCAAAACAAATACGACACTTCAGGACGAACACAACGCGCCAACACAAGTAAAACAGCAGCGCCAAAACAAATATGACACATCAGGACTAACGCAACGCGGCATCATAAATACGACACATCAGGACTAACGCAACGCGCCAAAACAAATACGACACATCAGGACAAACGCAACGCGCCAACACAAATACGACACATCAGGACAAACACGACGCGCCAACACAAATATGACACATCAAGACTAACACAACGCGCCAACACAAATACGATATATCAGGACTAACACAACGCGCCAACACAAATACGACATATCAGGACTTACACAACGCGGCAACACAAATACGACACAACAGGACTAACCCAACGCGCCAACTCAAATAACACAGCAGCGCCAACACAAATATGACATATCAGGACTAACATAACTCACTATATTTGTCAAATAATACAAAGTTGTACAAATACATCGCAGATGTAATTACACAACATGGCAACATGTGTGCGTATTGAGTGCAATATATCAGCACACCACGGGAACATCAACACAAACTGGGCAATGGTAATAACTGGACACGGAGACTGTTGCACGCATAACATATAATAGCTTATACAAGCGTTACTAACTGGCCACTGTGAGTGGGAGGCACCACAGCGCCAATCTGACCTTTTGTTCAAATAACAGGAGATGATATGAAAGTTTAATGTCTTTTTTAACTTTCGGTATCGTGCCATGTGGGAATATTCAGATCTGTCATCATTGCTTGTAAAGTGTGTTTTTTTTCTATATCCCATGGTGTTATCTGTTTCCTCACAAAACGTGTCCATTATCTTCAGAACCTCCGTACCAATATTCAATCTCCATTAGAAAGATGTGTAGACAGAGTCTCGTCTAAAGGTGTCATCTGACTGATCACTTCCTCGTGAATGCGTTATTTCGTTTATGCGATTATACCTTGACCGTTCGGTATGGATGAATACACAACCTTTCATTGTGCACCATTGACAGTATGCCATGTTCTTTTTCAGCGATCTTTTTCAGAATGTTGACCACTTCGTTTCCAAATATACTACACGTGTTAGTTTCTTATATATCATTCGCCTTGAAAAACCGTGAATACAAGCACTCATGGCAGCTACTTATGTGTATTGTGGGCATGCGTCTCCAGACACACTGTCAATGCGAATACTCTTCACAGTCTTTTACTTAACACATTATTTCAAACCTTTTCACACATGCCTTGTTAAACAGACATGGAAATTCCTTGTGCGAGTGTTGCGTGCCATGAATTCGTGTTTGGGAATTTCAAGTGCAATGGTTCGGATAGCACACTGGAGTGTTATAAGGGTAGTGTGGCCACATTCTTTGCTGTGCCTCACTTCATCAACTTCGGATCTGGAATTATAACGTAGGAATCTTCAAAGCAATTATGTTCACATTAAGAGGTATCACCATGTGAATGCTAAGTATAATTAATATTCTTGATTTACGACAATGAGCAGAGGGCGAGGGAGGGGGGGGGGGGGATGTCACAGCTTCAGAAGTGAGGGGGTATGGAAATGCACAAAAGGTTTTGAATAATTGATTCATGGAAATAACATGTGACAGTTATTTGTTCGTGAATTTAGACTTGTGGTTCTTCAGCTGTGAACGTGCATGTAAATGAAACACTCATAAAATATACCCTCTCTCTCTCTCTATCTACCTCTCTCCCTCTCTCTCTCTCTCTCTCTCTCTCTCTCTCTCTCTCTCACACACACATACACACATCACTATACCGGACCACACACCACATGCACACACACACACGTCACTATACCGGACCACACACCACATGCACACACACACGTATATTTATACACACACACCACGTACACGTGTTTGTGGGACTTCAGAGTTGACCATTCTTACCTACGAGATCATTAACGGCGTGTGGGGGCGTGACGTCAGGGTGGTCGTCCTTGCCAACGTCACCACTGACATCGCGCGGCGGTGTGACGTCAGGGTGGTCAATACGGCCGACTAAATCCGAAGCGTCGATAACAAGTTTACCGTCGTTGTAATGTTGCTGTATGATGACGCTGGCAAGGAACGTCAGATCTCCCTCCTTCTCGTGACCGTCTCGGATTTCAATAAAAATATGTCCTGAAATAAACATGTACAGCTACAATTTGACTGCAGTAACGATAATACAAGTGGTAGAAATGACACCAAGTAAAGCAACAATAATCTTATCTTTTTCAGATATTCCCCAATGAATGAATGAGAGTATTCGCGTCTTTGCGGTATTATAGTTCACCGTGAGACAGATTATCATGGCACATTGAAGACGCAAAGACCACTCCAAAGAACATAACACATTTAGTCTTTTTTAAACTGCGCACATCCCACCTCCCGATGTTTTATGTTCTTGTATGCAAAACAAATCCCAGTGTTCGAAATACCTGCCTGCCCGACCGTCCGAGACGGGTTGATTTCAACTCGGGCTGCCAGATTTTCAAATCCCCCTGCCCGACGGTCGGGTTATATTTCATATGTGAAAATATTCAAAATATTTCCCGATGATAAGCATTAATTCACATGTAAAGATGAATGATAAAATGTAACCAAAAAGAAACCCCGTTAGCTTATCCTAAGAAACATATGATTATAGTGGGCAGGCAGGTTTTGGTCAGGGCTGGCAAGTATTTCAGCTAGCCAGTCCTGTGGCCTGGCTGAAATTTTTCTGGAGTTTCATACCCTGCAAATCCATTGGTTTAACCAAAAGGAATAGTGAGTGGGTGAGTGGGTGGGTGAGATGGATTTAACGCCGCTTTTAATAGTATTCCAGTTATATCACGGCGTGTCAGCTTAACGTGGGGGGAAAGCCTAAGTGACGCAGGCCTCAGACCTTTACCACTTAGTTGGAAACAAGAGTATGGCGCTGACAGACCTAGAAACATAATCGGGACGAACGGGGATTCGAACCTACGCTCCTAGGTTTTTGGCAACTCTGAACAGCGAGGGGTTTTTTTTCTCAAGTGCGTGAATACAGAAGATACGGTCCGCTATTTACCAGGAATGTGGTGATGTTAGAAATGTACATGAACGTTCACTCAAATGTCAGTTAAATATGTCGGGTGTCGGTTGACGAGTCGCAACCAGTTCCAACGCGTGACGTTTCGGGATGTCTGACAGCCGACACGCGATTGAGTGACACATCGGGAAGTGTTAAATTAACCCCCACATTGCAACAGAGCGTTTTGCCATGGGTTTTGAAGATAAACACATTTTATTATAAACCACGCAGGGCCGACTCAAACTGAGAAAACACTACGTGTTGCACAAACCAATGTTTTGTCAAATTATAAAAATGGAGATCTAGAGGTATTTCAAATTGTGGGACATCCGTACTTCTCGGCCCCCGTCAACATTATTTTTGACCGAAAGAGTTTTAATGACTGTAAAAATCCTAACCCCGGATAGTCAAGCTTTCTGCCAACATCTTAAAACAGTAATTGACCGACAACCGATAGTTTAATGCATTTCAATTTTTGATAGGGGCATTTCTATCATTCCACGATTCAACAATGTGATTAATTCTAATTTAGAGTGAGTGAGTGAGTTGGGTTTAACGCCGCTTTGAACAGTATTCCAGTTATTGCACGAGTACTAATTTGGGAGCGTTTGCCCGAGAAAGATTCCCATTGTTCAGTACCCCTGTCAAATGTTGAGCGGTATATTTTTGCAGGATTACGCAGTGTTGCACCTTGTTTCCACCGGTACCAGACATAACACGTTGTCCAGAGAATGACCAGCACCAACAGGACCTTGACCCCTGTGTTCATGCCTCGTCAGTTGATATCTGGAAGCATTGTAAAGATATCAGCAATGTCGGATTATTGATCAGTTATTGTATACATCGGCATACACTTGTATACATGATACATTCATTTGGGGCAGTAGTAGTTTGCTTGTTGTTGCTTGGTTAACGCCGCACACTATATGCAATATATGACGCCTGTAAGTAAATAATAGAGTCTGGATCAGACAATCCAGTGATTGACATTATGAGCATCGTTCCACGCAATTGGAGCACGATGACATGCATCAACCAAGTTACCAAGGCCAAACCTAATCTATTTCGTCGCCTCTTACGAGGTTTCTTGGGACCTATATTCTTACTCATATTCCCACGGGTCTTTGGGGCAGTCAGTCTTCTTAAATTGATGATTTTTAGTTGTTATTTTATGTGTCGTGCGCAAATAGATCTTCCTGAAGACGACACCGCCCTGTTTTATTGTCAATGAAAGAAACAATATTTACAGTGATGCAATACTGTGTTTCCACTGCTAGACATGAACTGTCCCGTGCTTGTCGTAAGAGGTGACTAACCGGATCGGATGGTCAGGCTCGCTGACTTGGTAGATGCATGTCATCGATCCAAATTGCGTGGAACGATGCTTATGATGTCAATCACTGGATTGTCTGATCCAGACTCGATTATTTACAGACCGCCGTCATATAGCTGGAATACTGCAGAGTGCCGATCCCGTTACTCGCCTCTTACGGGAAGCATGGGATGTTGAAGCCCTATTCTACCCCGGATCTTCACGGGTCTCTATTCTGTCCCGGATCTTCACGGGTCTCTATTCTATCCCGGATCTTCACGGGTCTCTATCCTGGTGAGAGAACCCCGTGAGTGGGTGAAAGGCTACAGAAGCGCTGATAAATCACAATGATTTTTTAAAATCTCTTTTTCATGACATGAACGCCAGCAAGAGATATATTACGTCCGTTTCTTAAGTGTGTTGAAAACATTAAAAAAAATAAAATGTTTCCTTTTTTCTTTCGTTATATAAGACAGATAAAACATTCCTCGAGTTTAGTACATTTTTTCTACGTTGTCGAGGCAATCCCTCGGCCTTCGGGCCTCGAGTTTGTCCCTCTCCATCACATCTTCAACCAAACTCTCCGGAGCTTCAATTACCCTTTACTTGTTTGTTTATTTCTTGTTTAACGCCGCACTCACCAATATTCCAGCTATATGACGGCGGTCTGTAAATAATCAAGTCTGGACCAGACAATCCAGTGATTGATATTATGAGCATAGATCCACGCAATTGGGATCGATGACGTGCAACAACCAAGTCAGCGGGCTTGACCACCCGATCCCGTTAGTCGCCTTTTACGACAAGCATAGTCACCTTTTATGACAAGCATGGGTTGCTGAAGACCTATTCTACCCTCACATCCATCGTCCTGTGGGTAGACTAATCCATTTGCTGAACTGTTTTTGCTCATAATAGTTTGCAAGTCATGTATTTGGGTGTCACCACCCCTACCGCTTCCCACTGGACCCCCCACCCCCACCCCCAAAAATACATAACTGGCTCTTTCTACACTGACGAATTACCGCGTGTTTCCTCGTTTTGAGTTGCGATATGTGAGGTGGTGAGGTGAAATGGGGTCTAACGTCGCGTCCAATATTATTGCACTTATATAGCGACGTGCATGTACGTGTGTGTTTGTGTGGCTGCTTGTACTAGTCCGGACTGATGCCTATTTATAGTGACATACACTGAGATAACACTGATATACCATGCCGCAGTTTAACATGAATACCCCACTCAGACACAGTATACTGACTCCGAGCCGACCAGTCCTTGTTTTAGCCCCTTAATGCTGAGCGCCAGACAGGGTAACAACAAGTACCATATTTTAACGTCTTTTGGTATGACGCGGTCCGGGATCGAACCCGGACCTTCCGCTCTCCGGGCGGACGCTTTACCACTAGACCACGGAGGCGGTCAGTTGCGATATGTATATTTAAGCGACACCTCAAAGGTAATACGGATTTTAACACTCGGGGGGGGGGGGGGTCGCTACCCTTCTTTCACCACCACGTGTACATAGAGGGAAAATAAGAAAAACACCCTGCTAAAACAATGGACATGACACACCCTACATTGTCGTGGTGTGGGGCGGTAGGGTAGCCTAGTGGTTAAAGCGTTCGCTCGTCACGCCGAAGACCCGGGTTCGATTCCCGACATGGGTACAATGTGTGAAGCCCATTTGTGGTGTCCCCTGCCGTGATGTTGCTGGAAAATTGCTAAAAGCGGCGTAAAACTATACTCACTCACTCACTTGTCGTTGTGTTAAGGTGAAATGTTGATGAAGTGTCGTGTGTGTGTGTGTGTGTGTGTGTGTGTGTGTGTGTGCGTGTGCGTGTGCGTGTGCGTGGCTACTTGTACTAGTCGGAACTAAAAATACTCACGGAAATGAAAAAAAACTTTTTTCGATCTCAGATTTTAAATAAATGCAGTTAACATACAAAATATATAAATATTCAAACAACTCAATTAGTACTAATTGGGCCTTGGCACAAATACAGCGTATCAAATGTGTTTATGTCTTTTGACACGTAAAAGTGTGTAAAAATATGAACAAAACAGACTATTGTGAAACTGAGCATAACCAGGTGTTAGTAGATCAAGGTGAATGTCCATGACCTATGACACCTTGACGACAGGTGAAAACAGGTGCTTGAAACCGACGTGCATGTGATTTGTCAGTGGTTAGTGATTTGTCAGTGGCATTGTGGGATAGTGAATCATCGTCAAAATATCAGAACGTAAAAGGAACATATTCCCTTCTCAAACAACAACTTACATGTCATTATTATTATGTACATAAACATAGCTGTTTTTTTTATTGCTGTTTTGATAAAAAAAAATTCCAGGCTAATTTCCAGAATGCCTATAGCCTGTTTCTGCCACGTCAATTTGGAACTAGTTTTATTTTTGAATGTTGAAAGTGCCTACAAATTTGCTCCTGTAAAGTACATTTTGTATTGAGCACTGAGATAAAAATAGCAAATCCAGACTAGTACTTTTCCAGTTGTTTTGTTATTTCGTATTTACATCTACGTAATGCTTTGTGTCGATTATTAAATCCAGCAAAACAGGTTTTTTTCTCCATTTCCATGAGTACTTTAATGCTGAGTTTATAGTTCTAGCCCACTGAGACATCCTGTCGCAGTTGAACATGAAAACCCCACTCCGACACAGTACACTGACTCCGACACACCAGTCGTTGTTTTATCCCTTAATGCCGAGCACCAGGCAGGAAACAACAAGTACCATCTATTAAAGTCTTTTGGTATGACGCGGCAGGGAACGAACCCCGGACCTTCCGCTGACGCTCTACCACTAGACCACGGAGGCAGTCCAACAACATTGTACTCTCACCGAATGAACTCACTATAACACCAGCGCTTTTCACTGCATGTGGCGAACAACAATCGTTAGCTCCAACTGTGTGTGTATATGTATTGACATTTGTCGACAAACGCTGTAAGCGGAAGGAAGTGGGAAACATCAGCGGTAACGGGACTTCATTGAAGCTTAAGATCTCATCCCCGTTATACCGCGCATAACGTTTACATACATCGACCTGGGCTTTCTTGAAGAATAGTTTGTGAAAGAGAAAGTTAACGTGATATTACGTCATAAATTTTAGAATTATAAATTCAAAACAAGACACTGTATCGACCTCATTTCAACCTTCGGCGTCATTCGTAAAACGGCTGACAACATATGGTTGATTATAGTGAGTTGGGTTTTTATTATATTTTCGTAAAGTTATCTTAAATAAATGTAGCCCTTAATCTGTAAATGACCTGCGTCGTCGATGTTTGAGTTAGGACATTTCTCCGCCAACGACCGCATATATGGCATTTCACCAAAAAAACAGAAGGCGGCGTTCTATAAACAGCTGTACCTTTGATAGACAATGACCCTTATTGACAGACGGGTCATGGTTCGAAGAAATTTAAAATTTAAATGGACAATTTAAGTACCCCTTAAGGTTCTTATCCAGATAGTGAGTGAGTGAGTATGGTTTTACGCCGCTTTTAGCAATATTCCAGAAATATCACGGCGGGGGACTTATCCAGATAGAGATCGCGTGCTGATTACGAGCGGTGTGAGTACACCATTACCGCTGATACATTATGAAGGTTGTTTGGTGAACGTGTTTTCTATTCATTTCGTTAAATTTGGCTTCGCTCTAAGACTTAAACATTATTTATGTCACATCGGCATGATGATTGAGACACGTCTTGCAGTGTTGAATCACATAGGCATGGGGAATGTCAAACCAAAGAATCTAGTTGAATCTGGGATCCGAACCCGTGATCACAGGATTCTGACATGCCAAAGGGACGCAACTCTTAACATATAAGGCGAAGAAGCAGCAGAAGAAGCAATGGAAAGAGTAGTCAATAAAATATCGCCATGGAATATAACTTTGTAAACACAAACAAATGTTATTCATCAGAAAATACATACAGAATACGATTTTTAAAGAAATGTTATTTCATAAGGAATTATTTTTTTCCATGTATAGATATAATTCGATATGTATCGTCACCCCATCGGTAACATGGATCCCGTGGGGTGTCGGGGTTCGGGCCCAGGCAACCTATGGTCAGATTCAGTGACTTGGTTGATGTGTTATTGAGCCCCAGACGTTGTGGATCGTTGCTTGGAATATCTATCACTGGATTGTCTGAACCAGACTCGACTTATTTACAGACCGCCGCCATAAAGCTGGATTATTGCTGATGTGGCGTTAAACAATAAACAAAACAAAACTAAAACGGTAACATCTGAACATGGGCATATCTATACAGGTAAACATTCTATCGAAACGTACATGTACTGTTATGGTGTCAAACTCACCCCAGTATTGTATTGACACAAAGACGACCACCACGAACGCAGCTCCCGTGTTATCTGTCTGTCAACCTTTATCCAGTGGATATCAAAGATAAACATATTAAACAGCTTAGAGTAACCCATCCGTGTGTTGAGACAGGCAATATAACAAGACCGGTGATCTTCAAACGGGCTGTGACCAGGTCACCGGCTCCAGCTGGGCGTCACAGCTTCACGACAGTCATGCTAAGCAGTGAAATGTCATGCACACCATGTCACACACATGCAGGCAGTCGCCTAGAGGCAATGTTACATTGCAAGGTTGGAAATAAAACGTTTTGTTGCATTTCCGCTTCGTTAGAAGTGAACATGTAGGTGCTTGAATGTTGGACCAGAGTTCAACAGGTTGGTTATAAATACGCTTCATGTTGATACATTACCTAACCGGTTTTACCTGATCCGAAATTTGGGCTGACATATCGTTTTTAGTTTCAACAAGATCAGTAAACGCTTTGATGTCACTGGGTTGTCTGGACCATCCCTTGATTGTCTGGTACGTCACTTGATTGTACACAGGTCGCCGTCATGTGGCTGGAGTAGTGCTGTGCGTCGTCAGACAACCAACACATATTTTTTAGGCGTATTGTGTGAGTGGTGGGTTCAGAACTTGCTTGTCATTTTCGCGAAAGCCTGGTGTCAAAACTGATCTTCAGTGATTCATTCACATATATATATATATTTTTAAAACTATTTCGAATTGTACGCCCAATGAACTCGACAGCCTCCGTGGTCTTGTGGTAGAGCGTCCGCCCGGAGAGCGGAAGGTCCGGGGTTCCATTCCCGGCGGCGTCATACCAAAAGGCGTTAAAATATGGTACTTGTTGTTACCCTGTCTGGCGCTCGGCATTTAGGGGCTAAAACAAGGACTGGTCGGCTCAGAGTCAGTATGCTGTGTCTGAGTGGGATATTCATGTTAAACTGCGGAATGGTATCTCAGTGAGCTAGCACTATAAACCGGCATCAGTCCGGACTACTGCAAGCACACACACATACATTCAGATTAACATTAATACTCACTGACATCAAATATGTGATTTCATCATAATCCATGGACGATGTTTTTAAGCCACTCTATCACGAATGCTGTTTTCAGGGCTCTGTTTTATCACGCCAGGTTGCCTAGCAAATAATTTTCTCGTAAAAATGTGCGTTTTTTTAGATTCCGGCAGTTTATCACCTGTCATAAAACATATCAGTATATACATCGTAGCGTTTATCCATACACACTGAATACATATGACCAGACTAATGATACATTAACATGAAGTGTCAACGACCAAAATAGCCCTCGAGCTTTAGACATTTGTCATTTCTCTCACACCGAAATAAACAATACGTCCAGAAAAAAGGTGAGTTCAAACTGTGATAAATAAACTTATTTTATTTGTTCCTAAGTAAGATTAACAGTGAAACTGGCTCCGTTATGCAAGCTGGCTGCTTATATTTAAACCGTGCAAAGCAAACGTTCCCGACTATACACTCGTGTTTTCACTTGTCTCTGTCAAGGCCAACAACGATTTATCATGATTAATGTGTTTGTGGGAGTCTTCTTGTTACTGCGAGGATCCGAGTTCGACACGAGGGCGTCGTGGGACACCCATTCTATTTGCTCCCAGCCAGGGGCCAAACTACCATTGTAGCAGAAAAGCAATAAATTGTTTACACTTTTAGAAAAATGTTGTTTTTTTACACCTAAAAAAACCGATTTTTATATTAGTAAACCTCAATTTATCATCTGTGCAGTAAATTATTAATTCAAACTCTACACGGTTTAACATGATATTTATTGTCTAACATGGTAATCGGAATCCTTACCCACTTTAGGATTTAGTGGAAGATGGATTGTGACGTAAGCAAATCCCGCTCTCACAATTATTTTCATTATAATGATAGGTCGGCTCGCGTCAAAATATGAAAATAATTATAACCATCACATACTACGAATGAACATGTAAAACCACCTAAAAGTAATATTATCGATTTGTTTTAATGTTCAAATTTCATTTGTCATCATAGATGTTTCTTGAATGAAAAGGGTTCTTACCTACATTGTACGTTGGTGCATGTATTACGAGTTGAAGGTTAATAGTCATACCAGGCGCAGTAGCTGATAAGCTGAACTCAAGCAACAGTGAGAGTGACCTCCCTTGGCAAGTTTGACGAATGACAGGTTTTAGGGTTGTGATATCTCCTCGGAAATGCGACTTGAAATTGGTTTCTGTTCACACAATAATGAATGGGAACTCGGAAGGATGAGACAGCTATTTGAATGCACACCTTCTTGCGTCTAACAGACAGGTGTAACTTTTAATACCCAGGAATACAAGAGCACACACTAACCCCTCGTTGTCGAAGTCACAATAGTAGTAGCAGTCGTAGTAGTAGCAGTAGTAGCAGCAGCAGTAGTTATAGTAGTAGTAGAAGTCCTTGCTGTTGTATTTAAGTCTGTAGAGAGGGTGTGTAGTAGCAGTAGTTCTTGCTGTAGTAGTAGTAGTAGTTGTTGTTGTAGTAGTAGTTCTTGCTGTAGTAGTAGTAGTAGTAGTAGTAGTAAGTGGCCTTGCTGTTGTATTTAAGTCTGTAGACAGGGTGTGTAGTAGTAGTTGTTGTTCTTGCTGTAGTAGTAGTAGTAGTAGTAGTAAGAGGCCTTGCTGTTGTATTGGGTGTGTAGTAGTGGTAGTAGTAGTAGTAGTAGTAGTAGTAGCAGTAGTAGTAGTAGCACCAGGCAGCAGCAGCAGTAGTGCTAGCCTTTTTTACTGAAGTATTAAAGGTGTTGAAGGTTTGTAGTAATAGTTGTAGTTGTAGTTGTGTTGCAGCAGTAGTATACTGTCCTTGTTTGGTGTATTCAAGTCTGTAGCGAGGGCGTGTGAAGCACTCGTAAAATACTGCCCGACTACCGCTGTGTGTGTTGTGCATCAGTAAAACTTGCTTGACAATACCCTGCTGAAGGGAGGCGTTCTCCGTGGTGCTAGTAGAACGACTCAGATGCAGGAAAGGTAATAAAGCACATAACAATGGAAATGTTCCCCAGTGTGAAAACAGACTTTATGTCTTCTCTAACATTCAGGGGATACTGGTGGTCCTATAGTCAAGCTGTCTCAGCCGCTGACACTTCTCCTTTGCAGACATGATCCACTGATTGCGATTCGAGTGAGTGAGTTGGGTTTAACGCCGCTTTTAAAAGTATTCCAGTCATATCGTGGCGTGTCAGCTTAATGCGGGAGGAAAGCAAGGAGTGATGCAGGTCTCAGACGTTTACCACTTCGGTGAAACCCACTAGCACCGGTACTGTGGTGCTGATAAACCTAGAAACATAATTGGGGCGAACCAGGATTCGAAACCACAATCATAGGTTTCTGGCGTGCCCAAGGGACGCAACTCTGCACAGCGAATCGCGGCGCCTTAGACGAGTGGGCTACCCGTGCCCCCGATTGCGGTTCGAACCTCCGGACCAACTCGATAATGACCCTCGATCTGTTACACCTTTATCGAGCTCGTTTATTGCATCAAAATCTGTATAACACTTGTAAGCAGTAAGTTATCGTGAATTCTGACTTTTTTCCACATCACGCGCGAGTGTCCAAGTCGTCTAAGGCGCCCCAATTCGTTGTGCAGAGTTGTGTTCATTGGGCACGCCAGAAACCTATTATCGTGGGTTCGAATACTGGTTCGCCTCGATTAATATGTTTCAAGTTTTGTCAGCACCATACCCGTGCTCGTGGGTTTCACCGAAGTGGTAAACGCCCGAGACCTGCATCACTTCTGGCTTTCCTCCCACATTGTGTGAGTGAATTGAGCTTAACGCCGCTTTTAACAGTAGTCCAGTTATATCACGGCGTGTCAGCTTAATGTGGGAGGAAAGCCCGAAGTGATGCAGGTCTTAGACGTTTACCACTTCGGTGAAACCCACGAGCACGGGTATGGTGCTGACAAACCTAGAAACATAATCGGGGAGAACCGGGATTCGAACCCACAATCATAGGTTTCTGGCGTGCCCAAGGGACGCAACTCCGCACAGCGAATCGCGGCGCCTCAGACGACTGGGCCACCCGTGCCCCGCTTAAGCTGATACAACTGGAATACTAAAAGCGGTGTTAAACCCAACTCACATATGACAAAGTTTTAAAAGCCGAACGCACTCACTCACACTAGAGTGAAGGTGAATTACAGCTGCATACAGTAAACTACGTTTATTACGAACACGGATATAACGAACTAGTGTTTTTTTGTCTCAGCCATTTGCTGTGTATATGCTGAGTGTATATATGCAGCTTAATGGATCTGGTGGTCAGGCTCGGTGACTTGGTAGATTGCGTGTTTATAGACTTTATTCATTAGGTATTGTAGGCCACCGGCCCATTATACATTATAGAGTATACTGTGAGAGAGAAACATTATAATACAAAAGTAAATTTTAAGTGATTTACACAAGACGTAATTGCATTGCTTTATAGATGAATACGGATAGATTTTGCATGATTCATACATTATTTGATGCCATTAAAATATTAAACGTATACTCAACAACAAAAGTTCCTGTGACACCAATATTTTAGTGTAACAAGTAAAGTTTGGTTTTCAAAATTGTAGTACATGTATGGAATCAACTGCTACAGAAAAGCATGCATTCCCTGCAAAAAATGACTTTTATGCAATCCCCATGTATTTCACTACCCAAGAATGGGTATAAAAACATGTGCGTCAACGGGATTCCATATGCATTGTTTAACATCGTGCTGACAACAACCACTCAGAAAAACAACAAAATTACGCAATTATTCAACATTACGAAATGCCACGCCTGTCCGAAAATGAGCGTCTGCGAGCCATTGGTATGCTTGAAGCAGGATCGAGTTAACGTGATGATGCAAGACAATTTAACGTCCACAGCAACACTATTTGGTGTTTAGGGCAACGTTGGCAACAGACGAATGCAGTCAGAGACCATCCTCGGAGTGGTAGGCCACGCGTAACCAATAATCGACAAGACAACTGGATTCGAACAACACACCTACTAAATCGATTCCAGCCAGTAACAGTGACTGCAAGAAGCATCCCTGGCCTTCGACGAATATCTTCACAAACCGTACGTCGTCGCCTCAGATGTGCAGGGATTGTCGCCAAAAGACCCGCCACACGTCCCATTTTGA